ATAGCCGAGAACATTTTTTCAAACCCTTAGCAGCTTAAGGTTGTGTGCCCTCCAACCCCAAAATTCCCCCGGCAGGCAGGGCTGGTTGGGGAATTCTGGGAGTTGAAGTCCACACATCTTAGAGTTGCCAAGGTTGAGAAACACTGCTCTGGAGTTTCCCCTTCTTTGTTGGAAACCCTCCACTTCTGTGTCCAAAGAGATGTTGAACCGGGAATCGAGAGTTTCCATCTGGGCCAAACGGAAATGCCACACGTTGTATTTATTGGCCCATTTGCAGGAAGGGATGGAAGGATTGGTTCCTTCAGCCCCAGGAATGGATCCAAGGGTTCTTTTCTCTGCCATTTAAAAAAAAGAATAAGAAAATAACGTATCGATTGATGGTTTCCTCCTCATTCCCAAATTGTGGGAACAGAGGCACCCGGACATCATTTCTTCAGGGCAAAAGATTTCCCACCTTCCTCACCAGAAACTGAATTGCTTTATCTGCCCCTGGGAAGATTCTCTTTTGAAGGGTCGAGTCCAGAGGTTTGAACCAATCTTATTCTCCCGCAGGGGCTTCAGTGTTTCAACCGATAATCGGATACACATCTTCAAACCGGTGTCTGTTCAGGCCATGTGGTAAGGCGCCTTCTGCTTCTCTGTGTTCCTGAATCCCTCTGTCCCCAAGGATCTGCAGCCAGGTGACCCTGGAGAGTTTTCATACCGGGCAGCAGTCCTTTCTTGGTGGAGCTGGTATCCACAGCTATACTGCTCTTAAGCCTGGAGGCTTCATTTCATTTTGGGGTCTTGCAGGGCATTTTTTTCCTGCTTGACTCTGGAAGCCCTTCCTAACACCAGGCTTGGAGTGAACACAGTAAGGCTGGTTCTGATGCTGGAGAAGCTGTCCCGTTCACTCAGGCTTCTGGTCCTTTTGAGCCCTCTTGTTTTAGCAATGTTTGCTTTGGAATTAGTATTTAGAGCCAACTTGGAGAAGATGTTTATATCTGAGGAGTATCGAGTCTCAAGCATGCCAAGTTTCAAAACGCTTGGAATAATTACAGCAATAAGGAAATTATTATGGCTAAGACTTACTGTATTTTTTATTTGAAAATGTCATCAGTATGAAAGATTGCTGTTGTGTAACGTAGATAAGAATAAGTGAAGATGATTTCAGTTGACCTCCACTCCTAGTGTCCTCTCTGGATAGTTTTCTTGGCAACAGGACAGAAGTTGTTGGCTGCTGAGATAGCATTTCAGCCTCCCAGTCTAACCTACAGCCCTGTGATTTCCTAGTGGTGTCCTATCCGTGGACTAACAAGGTCTAGTGCTGCTTAGCTTTTCTTGGAGGTTGGTTGGATGCTGCTGGGTGACCAGTGCTTTTAGTTTATTGGACGTTTCATTTATTGCTTTATGAGTCGGGACGACGGCTTGGGTAGAACCCATCTCTCCCTCTCGTATCCAGACTCTGGCAAACACCTTCCACCCAGCTGTCCCCACAGCGCGAATAAGGAGTCCTGAGGGCCAGTGGAGACACCCTTACGAGCACCCGGTCGTGCGGGAGCTCCGGTTTGGAATGCAGAGCCACAGGCCAGAATAGCTGCCCCTGGGCACCATAGCCAGTTGCAAACCCTGATTTAACAGAATGCTTCCTCCTGCTTCGTTCCTTCTCCTTCTCCTCCTCCTCCTTCCTTCTACCCCTCCTTCTCCTCCCCTCCTCCTCCTTCATTCCTCCTCCTTCTTCCCCCCTCCTCCTTTTTCTGGGCAGGTGGGTGCCCATCCAAAGAAAGATCTGTCTGGGTTGCAGTCGCCTGCTATTTTTGTATTCCAAGAAAGCCAAGGGGGGAGCCCATTTGAGCCAAGTGACCTTCTTGGAAATAAAGAGGGCACAGAAGGTGGAGCAGCCCGCTTCCCTTTCCAAAACTGTCGGCACGGGTTTGTTTTGGATGTTGACGGTCAGGTGCCACAGGGAGCCCAGTCGGTGCCAAAGGCTTAGCGTGTTGTTTGAACAGGCTCTTACGTTTTGAGGATGGTTTTGGCTGTTTCTATCCCAAATCCCCCTCTGCCTTTGCAGAAAGATGAGGGTGGCGACGGAAAGCCAGGGGTCACCGTGTCTCTCCTTCCCTCCCTGCCCAGGTCTGCCCTGCAGAGCCTCCACAAAGCCTGCGAAGTGGCCCGGATCCACAACTATTACCCCGGCAGCCTTTTCCTCACCTGGGTCAGCTACTATGAGAGCCACATCAATTCCGACCAGTCGTCAGTCAATGAGTGGAATGCTATGCAGGATGTCCAGTCCCACCGCCCGGATTCCCCAGCCCTCTTTACGGACGTGTAAGTGGATATGGGTGCCCCGCTGGGCTCTCGCAAGGACACCCTTGGCCCTAGCTGCCGAGCAAAGGGGGGAGAAAAACAACTCTGTTATTTCTTAAAAACGCACCCCCGGGTAGCCAGAAACGTCAGGCACGCCCCTCACGTGGCCCTTCCCAGGGACGTTGTACTATAACTCCCATCATCCCCAACCAGAGCAGCAAACAGACCATGACTGTGATCCTGCCTGAAAGCTGTCGGTGGGTTGGAGTCTTTTTCTTCACTCCCCACTTGCCGGGTGGTGCCCATACCCAGGGATCTCTCCCGGGGAAAGGGGGTTAAAAAAGTCAAAATGGTAGCTGCGGTCACGTGGTTGTGGTCACCATCTTGATTTTTTTGACCTCCCCTGTGGAAATCTGTGCTTGCACGTGTGTTCCTTTCAACACCAGGTGAAGATCCTTTATTCTTCCCAAGCATATCCAAGAACCATTTGGGAGTTTCAGCATGCTAGTTTTGTGTTGCTGCTTCGTTGTGATATTGTGTCACCTTTATTGGTCATTTTCATTGTGGCACCTCGTTGGTAACTTTCCCCTTGTGCTGCTCTGGATGTGGGGATTTTGTGCTGCTTTCATACAGTAGTATTTTTTAAGATACACTTTAATTGATTGCAGAATGTCTAGGGCAGTGTTTGTCAACCCCGGCAACTTTATGATGGGTGGACTTCAACTCCCAGAATTCCCCAGCCAGCATGGGGAATTCTG